ACATGGCACAAATCGACGAACACATCCTGATGGGGGAAAGTGGCGGAAATTGATTCCTATTAGGTTTCCACTACTTCCTTATCAAGAAAAGCCTATAAAAGCAACATGTCTCTACACCATAAGCACGAAACTTTTACACCACAAAACGCGAAGAACGAAGATCAACGAAGACTCAAGCATAGTTTTTCTTATTTATTTTATTTATTCTATTTTGTTTATCATAAGAATTACGAGTAGCTAAGTTTTTAATCTAGGATTTTATTTGAACCCTATGTGGTAATCCGAACCTATTTTTCTAATATTATGCAAGTTTAATTCCATGATTATTTCTTCTATTTGATCTTATTTAGCGCATGAACCTAGCTAATTTATGTTGCTATGTGTTATTGTTAGAATTGATTGACAGATCGTTTTAATAATTAGAACAAGGATAGAAGAGCCTTCGAGTAGTTTTCACCGGATGGGTGTGTTAATTGCATGTGGTGTCGTAGACATACAGATATCACCTTAGGTAGCCGTTTGCGAGACTTGTTAGTTAATGTTTTATTCATAATTGGTTTGCATAGACATATAGTGAATCGGTTATAAATAATAGACTCATAATACACGCGACAACGGGTTATGAGTAATTTCGTGTCTCGGGTTAATAATCAGGAATTGTAACTTGCATGATAGATGTTTAATTGGGTGAAGAATTATCGCATAGGGGGAAGATAAAATCCTAGATCCGTTTTTATTGATATTCTCTCGTGTTTATTTGCTTTCATAATTAGTTTAATTGTTTTATTGATTTATTTGATAACTTCGCGTAGGCTGGATAAAAATCATAATTGTTAGAATTTGGTACTTAGGATTAGATAATTTGAGTATTCCCTGTAGGATCGACAACCGACTCTCACGAGTCCACTTTTACTACTTGTTTGCGATACGTGCACTTGCGTGTTAGGTATTTAGCACCCACCAATTATCCAAGCAATTAACCCGGATTATTAACCTAGATGTTAAATTAATCACAACCCGCTTCCGCGTGTATTACGATTCTAATACTCTAGATTCAATTACTGTATTCCTACGCAATTAATTTTAAAACACAACATTAAACATGAATCTCAATAATGGCTACCTAAGAGATTAACTATATTACTATGTTAATACCACAAAAGGCTCTTCTACCACAGTTCTAATTATTAACCCGATCTTCCGATTCTTGCGATTAACAATAACATAAAAGCACATAAGGTGGCCAGTTTCATGAACTTAATAAAACAAGTAGAAGAAATAATCCGGAATTAAAACTTGCATAAAATCATAGAAAAGGGTTCATAAATCCCACATAGGGTTCGAAATAAAATCCTAGAAATAAGAAATTTAGCTAATCATGATTAAAGTAAAAACGCAAATAAAATAAATCATAAACGATAAATCTATGCTTGGAGTCTTCAAATTCTTTGTCTTCGTTATTGGTTTGTTGCTCTTGAAATTGCGTAAAAGATGGATCCCCAATTGTGTGCTTGGCTTGGTCTTATATAGGGTGGAAAATTTGGAGAAGAAGGTAGTTTACTTGTGCAATTAGGATTCCTTCACTGCGCCTTTTCGTTATCTCGGACGGCTGTTCCGAATTTTGCACTAAAACTCGGACGGCCGTCTGAAAAGCAGAGACTGCCTCTGTTTCTCAGACGGCCGTCTGAGTTTTAAGTGTATTTATCCGACGGCCGTCCCCGGTTATATTTCTTCAGATTTTTGACTTCTTCACTTTTGACCCATACTTTTCCAATTCTTCAATTGATACCTAAAATACAATAAATCAATATTTTAAGCACCAATTATCGTTAAAACACACACCAGAAGCTCTCATTAAAAGGTACGATTAAGTGTAAAAATATACACTTAAAAACCGACGCCTCCAAGTTCCTCAATACTAGAGAATTTCTCTCAACGCATAAAATCTTGCGCCACCCACGCTAAAAGCAGATTCTTAAGCTACCGTTGATTCAAAGTTTTGCCACCACATATCATCTTCTTCTAACAAGTTTCCAAAAGAAATTGTTAAAGTTTTTGGCCCTAGGTTGGCTAGAAGATGAAGTTGTAATATTTGCACTAATCTTCTTATACTCCTCATACATGTTATATGTACAACAACGTTTCAACTTCCTCGTGTTTTTTCATTGCGATACCGACTACTTCCGGCGGGTAGATGGGACACAAGTTAGTTTAATATCATTTGAGTAAAGTTTGTAATCCGCCTCTCTAAAAAAAATTAATTTTCCAAGTTGATATAACTACATAGATTTGGGAATACGTCGAGGAGTCTTATAATATACGAGTTGGCATATTTCGAAGTGAAGAGAAGGGTAAAAAAGGGGAGATAAAATGTGGATGATTGGATTTGGGACAGGTTTCAAAAGTTGGAAGCTTGGTGTGGGAATGGCATCAAGATTCCAACTTTGAAACATGTCCCAAACCCTAGCATCCACATTTTATCTCCCCTTTTTAACCTTCTCTTCGCTTCGAAATACGCCAACTCGTAGAGTACGAGGCTACGCGACGTATTCCCGATTCTATGCAGAGTCATCCAAGCCGGCTCGGTGACCTCGCCGCTGAGTCTCATGAGTCGAGCCACGTTTTCAATCACCGCCCGCCCACCCGTGTGAATGCACATGTGTGGGAAGGGTTTCGTGAAATCGGGCACTAGGACGGGATTTTTCAACAAGGTGGACCCCACCGCCGAGCATGCGTAGTGAGCGAGTTGACTCAGTGGCACAACACCTTTGGTACGAGAATTTTCATGTGCTGCCTCAAGTTCACCGCAACGGCGTTGACTAAATCTTTGGTCAGCGGAACGCCGGTAATACCGTTGTCGTCCTCCTCTTGGAACGCGGCTCTGCAGGAAGCGTCCTGGCCCCCGTAGTGGGTCCGGAGCGATTAAGTTTGTAGGGGGTCGTGCTAGCAAGTGAACGTCCAGTCTTCACGTTCGTCACGTTTCGACTGCGGGGGCGTATTAGAGTATATTATATTATTAGATATTATAGGATATTAGGATTCTAGTATGATTCGGTTACCTAGATTAGTTAGGATTTAGTTACCTAGTCAAACTCTATTACCTTGGAATATTTCTCTATATATATTCCATGTAATCAACCCATAACACAATGGGGGTTTCTATTCTATTCTACGTATTATTATTTCTCTCTTCTCCTTTTCTATTCTTCCTATATGGTATCAGAGCACCAGGTTTAGGTTTTTTAACCTAGCCGCCTTCCTTCTCCATGGCGGTGAAACCTAGCCGCTTTTCTTCTTCATGGCGGTGACCACCCATCTTCTCCCTCCCCCAGTGGTGGTACTCTAATATTTATCTTTTTCTTTTCTATCTTCTCTTCTCTATCTTTTCCGTTCTTCTTCTTCTTCTCCATGGCCTAAAACCTAGCCGCCGCTTCTCTTCTTCTCCATGGCCGGCGACACCAAACCGAATTTTCTCCCTCTCTCGGTGGTGCATCTTCTCTGTCTTTTTCTTCTTCTTCTTCTTCTTCTTCTTCTCCATGGCCTAAAACCTAGCCGCTGCCTCTCTTCTTCTCCATGGCCGGCGACCCCTCTCTCATATCTTCTCTCTATCTCGATTAAAAAAAAAAAAAAAAAAAAATTCTTATTTTTCTCTCACCCGTTATTATTATTATATTTTTTTTTTATCAATTGAACAGATATTTCCACAGAGGAATTCTCTAGCGATGTGTTTCGCGGTTTCTGTCCAGTCTTCACGTTTGAAGTTTCCAGTCTTCACGTTTGAAGTTTATTCGTTTTGAAGTTTATTCGTTCCGACTGCGGGAGCGTGCTAGCAAGTGAACGTCCAGTCTTCACGTTCGTCACGTTTCGACTGCGGGGGCGTATTAGAGTATATTATATTATTAGATATTATAGGATATTAGGATTCTAGTATGATTCGGTTACCTAGATTAGTTAGGATTTAGTTACCTAGTCAAACTCTATTACCTTGGAATATTTCTCTATATATATTCCATGTAATCAACCCATAACACAATGGGGGTTTCTATTCTATTCTTCCTCTAGGTCGATTAAGTTTGTAGAGGTGACTAAAATGGAGAATTACAATTTTACCCTTAAAACAATAAATAAAAGAATTTATAGACAATCTATATATAATATAAAAAGAGGATCTATGCCCTCAATGATTGAAATGTGGCAAATGATGATGTCATTTATCAAAATTGCTTAGTTGGAGTTCAATTGACGAGGTGGATTCTTCAATTGGTGAGTTGTCAATTTTATTTTGGTATGAATTTAAGTTATTTCCTATTTAACATTTATACACTCATTTAAACAATTAACACGTGTATATATATTATTTCCAAAATTAATATTTTATAAATTCGAAATAAAAAAAATATTATTTACATTTCAAATATTTCATAAAAAATCAGTACACTAAATTTTTTTACTAATATTCAAATAATTTTCAGAAAAAAAACATTTTTTTAATATTCAAATATTAAAATAAAGGAATACAGTTGTTTTTTTTTCAATATTCTAGAATATTCGAATATCCATTCAATAAAAAAATATTAAAAAAATATATTAATATTGTTTAATAATGCATTAAAATTAGATTTCAAATTAACATATTAATAACATATTATGAAATTTACAATTTTATTATTAAAATACAAAAAAAAATATGCATGTTTTATTTATTTTAGAATTTTCTAAAATCAGAATATACATTTTATGATATGAAATTTGATTTCTTACCTATTTAAGAGGATTATATTTAATTGATATAGTTAGTTTAATGAACATATTCAATAACCATAAATATTGTTTAATATTTTAAAATTAATTCATAATCAATAGAAATCAAATCATCCGAATTGAATTGATTTGATTTCTTACCTTTTCTTTTTCCTTTTTCCACCTATAAACATGTGATTTGAAATTTGGTATTTCACTCATCCATTCGAGTTGTTTTTGTTTTTCGTTTTTCGTTTTCTCTTTTTTTTTTTTTTTTTTTTTTTTTGTAATTTTTTTCAATTGATTTTTCATGCATTTATCGTATTATAATTTAATTTAGATGGTTTAAATCCGTTTAATATTTTTATTTAACTGAAGAACTATGCTAATACTTTTTCTTTATGTATTTCTTGCAAATGTTATTTACGAATCCAACTTATGTCCTATGTGCTACATTGTTACAGTTTGCATATAATTTTTGTAATTTCATTTATTTATTTTTTTATGTAAAAGTTTGTATTTAGTTTTTTTAATTTAATTGACTTATATATTTATCATTATCCAAAAATCGATTATTGTTTTGTCAAACAAAAATGAAAGAAATTGACACTGAATTCTGTATTGCATGTGGAAACGTGGAAATCAAAGATTTTTATTTTTCTTTGATTTTGAAAAGATGATTGGACAATATTGTTGTATGTACAAGTTTCACCACAATTGACATGTATCATCTTTTGAATGTATTTTTTTTGTTTGTAAATAATAAAGACAAACAATTTATGTACTTTTGCTTCATTAGTGCAATTTTGGAGTTTTATTTTATTTTCTTATAGTTTACATATTTTTCATTCATTATAATTTTCTATTTTATGTTTCAATCTTAATTTTTTTTGAATAAATTACTACATTAACATTAAGAATATTCAAATATATTCGGTTAAACATCCATTTTTTATGAATATTCAAATAATTTTTTTCATTGTAATATTGATATTGATCCTGGTATTGATGTTAGTATTGGTAATGGTAATGGTAATGGTAATGATAATGGTAATGCTAATGCTAATGATATTAGTATTGGTGATGGTAATGGCAATAGTAACAGTAATGATAACGATAATTGTAATGGTAATGGTAATGGTCATAGTAATGGTAATGATAATGGGAATGATAATGGTATTGATAATGGTATTGGTATAAGTATTGATATTAGTATTTTTATTGATATTGGTATTAATATTGGTAATGTTATTGGAATTGGTGATTGTATTGATATTTATATTGATATTGGTATTGATATTGATATTGGTATTGATATTGGTATTGACATTGGTGTATATTGGTATTAATCATTGTATTGATATTGGTATTGGTATTGGTATTTGATGCTGCTCCAAAATGTTGGGTCAGCCCAATGGTCATGAAGGCACAGGTCTCCTAAGTCCGGAAATCTTCAAGCCCAATATCGGGAATGCCGAAAGTCCTTGCCACGCGTCTGAGGTAGTCAAAGGGATCGCTCCACTTGTTAACCTGCAAAACAGTTGAAAACACTAGGTGACACGCTGGGGGTGGCCCGACAATTGTCCTCCGACGCTCAAGTCAGAAAACTATCACAATATAAACAATTAATGTTAATTAATTGCCTAAATAGTGCGTACCTTATTATGTGATTGCTAACACATATTTATAAGTGGAGTTTGGTATGGTTTTCTTGTAGAAAACCAATGTGGGACAAAAAATATTAGTTTTCTTCCCATAAGCTTCTCATAAAGTTCTTAATTAAGGCCTTTGTATTGAGCTTTTCCTTTTAATGAGCCTCTTGGGCTTTTTGGGTTAAAGCCCAATTAGGCACATCATTAAGCCCCCCACTCCCAGGTTGAGCCACGGGCCCGTGGGTCTGCCTGGGAGTAATTAGGAATAGACGCTCGAAGACGAAATATTTTTTTTGTTTTCCTTGAGTTTCAAGGTAGCAGGAAATTTTGAAGTCGGCTACAGGGATCTTGCAGAGGCAGGCGCTGCAGTTAGGCGACGATATTTTTTTAAGGGAGGCCCATTTGTTGTACGGCGGCGATCAATCGCCAAAATTATTGGAAGAAGTTGTGATATCCCTTGGCTTTGTTGCCTAGTGAGAATCGCGTATTTCCTAAAGAATGAGTTATATTTCAACTTTTCCGGCGAGACGGTATCCCTTGGCTATATCTCCTAGTGGGGGGCCCGTCTCTCGTAACGAATGAGCTTTACTTTATCTTTTTAGCGGGGCGAAATCCCTTGGCTTTATTGCCTAGTGGGAAGCACGCATTTCGTAAAGAATGAGTTATGCTTCGTCTTTTCCGACGAGACGGTATCCCTTGGCTATATCGCCTAGCGGGAGGCTCGACTCTCGTAAAGAATAAGCTTTTACTTTATCTTTTTGCTAAGACGGTATCCCTTGGCTTTAACGCCTAGTGGGAAGTCCGTATTTTGTAAAGAATGAGTTATGCTTCATCTTTTTCGGTGAGACGGTATCCCTTGGCTATATCGCCTAGAGGGAGGCTCGACTCTCGTAAAGAATAAGCTTTTACTTTATCTTTTTAGGTAAGACGGTATCCCTTGGCTTTAACGCCTAGTGGGAAGTCCGTATTTTTACACTTAGTGGTTGATCAGGCCCTCAAGTTTTTTATGTAGGAAGTCTGCCCGTTTGCCTAAGTTTTTTGGGGCGGGTAAGACTCCTTTGAGCTTTAGTTTCTCTATTTTTTGGAGCTTTGGGGAGCGAGAAATCAAGGTTCGGGTTGGCCTGACCCTTTGTGATCCCTGATATCTTTTCCTTTAGCTATTTTTTGAGTCTATTGATTTTTTGTTAAATCGATTGTAAATGCCTTGAAAAAAAACGTGTAGAGAAGACAAATGGCTGATGTAGAAATCACGGTGGCGATATCCCACCGACTAAAATAGTTTATTAAGAATCATGCGGCTGGCGGTATGCCTTGAAAATATTGTGCGGGGCGGTATGCCACCGACTTATTGCTGAAAAGAAATTACATGAGGCCCGCGTGGGGCAATAGTAAATGCTAAGTAAAGTTTTTTTTTCAGCATTGCGATTGTTCTAGGAATTCTCTCAAGTGCCCATTTTGGACAAGTCTTCCGAGCGCTCGCATAAGCTGAAAGCACTCCTCAGTAGTGTGACCTCGAGCTCTGTGGTATTCAGAGTACTCATCCGAATTTTGTCGTTCTGGATTCTCCTTCATCCATCTCGGTGGTTGTAGAATTCATTTATGCTCGACGATGATCATCCTGTCAACAAGTTTATCCTTGAGAGGTGAGAACTTCTCGAATGTGCGATATTTGGCGGGACGCCTCTCTTCTTTTCTATTATAGTTGTGGCTTCCATCATCGCGCTTTCGCTTAAGGGGTACCCTAATTTCTGCAGTCTCCCCAATCCGAACGTACTTCTCAGTGCAATTCAGGAGCTCCTCTAGGATCATAGGGGGTCGGCCTTCGATGTACTCTTGAAAACGAACATGCTTCAAATTGTGTTGCATTATGTCGGTCAATATTTCGTGATTAAGGAGGGGCACTTAATGTACTACTTTGACAAATCGTTGCAGGTAATTCATGAGCGACTCTCCATCCCGCTGTATGACCTTGAAGAGATACGACCAGTTTTGGCGTATTTCTTGCTTATAGAGTATTGGTGACGGAAAATCGTCGCTAGTTGATCCAGATTGTCTATGAACCATTCAAGCAAGCCGTTGTACCAACTTTGTTCCTGATCAGCTAGCGTGGTCCGAAAAATCTTGCAGTGAGCTGCGTTACTAAGACCGTAGAGGTCAATCTTGACGTAAAAATTATTTAAGTACTCTTTGGGATCCCCGGTTTCGTCAAATTGGGGGAGATGGGGATTACCATTAGGATTACAATTTGAATTAGAACAATGATTGAGATTAGTATTAGAATTAAGATTAGAGTTAATACCAGGATTATGATTAGCAATAACACTAGAATTACTAACACTAATAGTAAGGGCCCTTTTGGTTGGGTGGTTTGGATAGATAGGTATGGATGAGATATGTAGTATTGGGATTAAACTGTTGATTCACAATACTGAGTATATCTTTTGGTTGGTTGTATTGGGCTGAAACTAATAATCCCATGATGAACAACACCGTGTTTTGTATAGCTGATATGCCAGTTTAATGTGGGATTATTTGCAAAATAACTGTAATGCCCCTAAAATACAATATTTACCAGTCATACCCCTCTTTCATTTTTTCATTTCTCCAATATTTTTGTAGTAATTCAATATGATATACATGAGGGTATATTTGCACAAATTTGTGTTTGCGGAATTAGTTGAACTAATCAGAGTATTTTTTTCCCGTTTAGATGTTCATGCATTTTTTGTGTAATTAATCGTGAGTTTGATGTGATAATTTGTATAATAATCAAATAGCTATCACAATACAATTTAATGGTGAGTTGAGTATTTATATGTAACAAGCATTTATCGCACGGGATATCATTTCAAATGAAAATAATGATTAGTTTAATACATGACAATAACAATTATAATAAAATTTATTAGTGATATCGTTAACAATATTAACATTTATACAAATTTAATAATACAAACTCATTCAAAAAAAACTATAAAAACTTAATTGTCATACTATGAAATTGATCATTAAATAAATGAAGCAATTTTTTTTTAGAGAAAATAGGAGATAAAATAGTAGCAATAATAATTAAAAAAAATATAGATATAGTGGATTATGATTGTGCTAGACGAGATTTAGTGTTAAAGTAATTAGAAAAAAAAATGGCTGCAAACTATGAGATAAAAAAATTATATATAATATAAATTAATTAAGTTTTTTTATAAATTTGTAATTTTTGAATGATGTAAGGGTATTTTCAAAAATTCACATGGGTGTAATGGTGGGATCATTGAAGGGATAAATTGTCAAGCCAAAATTGGCTTGATAACTAATAAATCAAATGGGTGATTAAATCAGTGGGGCCGGATGTCAAGGATGGCAAAACATATGAACCAAATATTGTACTATGGGGTACAACATATCCCATCATGCCTAATAATACAAACCAAAAGGGCCCTAATAGTATTATTATCATATTAGTATTAGTTTTAACATTAGTAATAGTAATGGTAATGGTATTGATATTGGTGACGGTAACTGCAATGGTAATGGTCATAGTAATGGTAACGGTATTGGTATTGGTATTTGTATTCATATTGGTACTGGTATTCATTACTTACGCAATACATAATATATTTTTTATTTTATTTTACTTTTCTACTAATTTGTATTGCATATCATTGATCTTACTATTTCGAGGACTTTTTTTTAAATAAAATATTTATTTTTAGGATGAATACCCCGTGCAACACATGGGTGAAGTACTAGAACAATGTATTAGTATTAGTATTAATAGTTATCGTTGTATTAGTATTAGTATTAGTATTAGCATTAGTATTAGTATTAGTATTAGTATTAGTATTAGTATTAGTATCAGTATTAATATTAATTATTAATATTAGTATTAGTATTAGTATTAGTATTAGTATTAGTATTAGTATTAGTAATAGTATTAGTATTAGTATTAGTATTAGTATTAGTATCAGTATCAATATTAGTGTCAGTATCAGTATCAGTATCAGTATTAGTAGTAGTATTAATATTAGTATCAATATTAATATTAGTATAAGTATTAGTATTAGTATTAGTATGATATTAATATTAGTATCAGTATCAGTATTACTATCAATATCAGTATTAGTATCACTATCAGTATTAGTATCATTATCAATAACAACACCAGTCTCAGTATCAGTATGAATATGAGTATCAGTATCAGTATCAATATCTGTATCAATATCTATATGAGTATTGGTATGAGTATTGGTATGAATATTAATATTGGTATTAATATTGGTATTAGTATTAGTATCAATATCGGTATCGGTATCGGTATCAGTATCACTATCAGTATCAATATGTGTATGTGTATCTGCATTAGTATTAATATCAGTAGTAGTATCAATATCAGTATCGATATCAATATCACTATTATTATCATCCATTATTATTATTATTATTATTATTATTATTATTATTATTATTATTATTATTATTATTATTATTATTATTATTATTATTATTACTATATATATA